GTAGTTATTTCTGTTACTGTTGTATTTAGCTTATTTCGAGACAGAACCAATTGCAATAATGGTTTTAACAAGCTCTTCAATGAATCTGGGACTACTAAAGGCCCAATGAATCTGGGACTACTAAAGGCCCAGATAAATGGCCACCCATAGCTATACCACACACCCCTGTCTCTCTCTCTCTCTCTCTCACACACACACACACACAGACATCATTCAGACACCATACACATAACACACACATTGCATACAGACACATCACACACACACACCGACAAGAGACACCACACACATATACACACCACATGCGAACACTCCCCCCCACAAACATACCACGCACATCATATATACATTCCCCATACATGCGCACACACCACATGCATACACAGGCTATACATACACACCACACACACATACCATTTACAAATGCACACAAATACACATTCTACGCACACCATGTATTTCATACATCTATGCAGACACAATGTACATGAACATACAACTCTTGCAAACACACACCACGTACAAATGCATATGCACTACATATAAATTCACCACACATATACACACTACCTCAGATGTAAATGCACACCCCAACTGCAAATAATCACACATACATATGACAAATATACACGCATAACATACATATGCACATCCAGAACACAAAAATACATACCACCCTACCACTTATGAATACACATACCATACGACAAAACACATACAAACAGCATATGACAAGCACGCATACACCACATGCAAATTTACCACATGCATATGCATACATCACATGGAACTTTACATACACCTATACACCACATACAAACACACCTCCATGCACACATAGACATCACACACACACCACATACATATACACAAACACACAAACGCCACGCACATACTGCATATGAATACAGCACGCAAACACAAGCACCACGTACATACATATACACACACTCATAACCACATACCACATGCAAATACACACAGCCGCACAACACACACTCACACACAACACACACATGCACACCCTAAACCACTTACAAATGCACACACCACACATATACACATCACACCATACACAACGTTCATACATACACCACATACAAATTCATCTTTGTCTTCCCACAGGGGTTCTGGGGGAGCCTAGGAAAGCACATTTAGAGAAGAGAATTCGGACTATGGAACAAAGGGGGGAAGCTGGAATTAGCCTCACTTTTGGCAATCTGACTGAAGAACCGTGTTAAACTGCTGCCTACACATCATTGCTGTTGCTTCCGCCCATGTAGATAGGAGCTCAGAAATCAAATCTTTTAGCGTTTACTGTGTCACCGGGACAGGCCAGCAACTACTAGGCCCACACCTCTTGTTTCATCAGCTCATGTGCTGGCATAAGAAATGCACTTAGCAGCAAAAGTTTAGAGAAGGGATTTACCCCCCAGGAAGACATTCTTATTTTTCTTACAAATACTAGCTCTTACAGTTCAAAAAAAGAACCAAAAACTAAACCAAAATGGTTTAGTTTCCAAACCATTTTTCAATCTGCAAAAAATAGTCATTTCCAGGATGTCCATATTACCCCCTTTCACAGACCTGCCTCAAGGCCTTCCTACACGGAGAAATTACTCCAGGTGCCTGGCTCTGGGATGGCTCAACCTTAACGTACCAGCATTAGTATGCCTTCTGCCCATGATGACCAAGCCCAGACCCAGCCGCGAAAAGTCTATCTTTGCTTCAAAGGCCTTGTTTACTTTAACAGCAGGTCTTAGTGAAACACTAACCTCCTCCCATTGATGATAGCAGAGTTATTTTTAATTCTTATGTCTGTGAAAGGTCTGGCCATCCCACCTGACATTCTGCTTTTGGGTACCAGAGAAAATGCTTGCCCCAAACACATGCTGCATGGTAGTTCAACGTGAGGGTTCTGGAATAAGCCTGCCTGAGGGAAGCTGAATCCAGCTCTCCTGTTATCAGGATGTCCTTGGATGTCCTCAAGCAAGTCATTTAAACCCTTTTCACTGGTCATTTAAAAGTATAGCTATTTCCTACTCCCCCGCTTGTGTTTCCTCTCTCGCTCTCTCATTCTCTATCAAAAAATAAATTAAAAAAAATTTTTAAAAAGTATAGCTAGCTTATGAAGGTTAAATTAAGCAAAATGCTAAGAACAGTCGCTGGCAAAAAGGAAGCCTCAATAAGCAGTAGGCCCAATCAATAGGAAAAAAGGTTACAAGAGAATTAGGAGGTTCCCCTGTTCTATTATTAGCAAGAAAACTGCAGTGTTCACATTTATTAAGCATCTTCTCAAGGTGAGGCTTTGGCCTTCAACAATCCCATGATGCTAGCTAGTCGTGCCTCAATTTTTCAGATATGGAAACTGATGTTCAGAAAAGTTACAGTAACCTTCTTGTCACATGGGTGACAAACTTGAGATCTGAACCTAGGGTAGAATAATCCCAAAGTTCTCTTTATTTCTACCCCTCTACTACATTTTGCACGTCCTAAAAGCTTCTCCTCATTATCCTACCAAATTGTTACCCTATCTCCTAAAGGTCAAGTTAATAATATCAGTTCATTCCTCGCAAAATGGACCGATGATAGTATAGAGCCATAGAATTTCAGAGAGATCTGGAAAAAGGATCCACAGCCATCCTGATTATGGAACTTAAGGTCTATTATGGAGCAGGGAGAGACTTGCAGACAGCCTAAGTTCCTGAGTGGCTTCATAAAAACACATCTTCCCAAATTTGTTCTGAAATGCACAAAGAACTCAAGACAATCAAGACTTTTTCCTGGTGGCATGTTCAGAAGGAAAACAAAGGAAAATCAGAGAAAAAATGCACAGAAAGAGGGGAAGGAAGGAAGGAGGGAAGGAGGGAAGGAAGGAAGGAAGGAAGGAAGGAAGGAAGGAAGGAAGGAAGGAAGGAAGGAAGGAAAAGAGGGAGAGGAAGGAGAGAATAAGAAAGAAGAATCATTTCATCCTGAAAGACTTGCAAGGGAAACACAAGAGCCGGCATATCCATGGTACATCCAAAGGATAATGGGAAAGGAAGTGATGTCCCTCCGGAAGCCAGGAGGTGAACAAGTCCGGACACCCCAATAACAGAAAAGCAAAAGCCCTGTCTTCTTTCTCCAGTTCTCTCTGTTCAGCCCAGAGTGAAAAAGTCTCAGAAAATCCGGCCTCTTAGGGGAGGATTTTTCAGAGATGCTATTTTCTAGAGGTCCTAGAAGAAAGAGAAAGAAAGTGCTGCCCGAGGCCAAGGGGGAACACCACCTCCTTGTCTTTTGTCCACTGCAGAAGCTTCCACTCCTTCCACAGGCCACAGAAGCGCGGGGCTGGGTAGGGGCCTTGGGGAGTGGGGGAGGGGTGGTGTGAGGATTGCTCAGAAGTCCAGAGGACCTTCGGTGACAAGGGCCCAGCTTGTCCCTGGAACGCCACCCTCTCAGCGGGACCCTGAGATCTGAGTGCCTTCACCAGCTCTGAAGGTCCTTTGACCTTTAATGCTTTCATATCCTAGAAGAATACTTGCTTTCAGTTCCAAACAGCCAGTGTTCCTCAATTGTCGGTCTCCCACATTCTCATGTAAATAAGGCGAGATTGTGACGATAATTCCACGTTCACGCATTTGGAAGAGAGGCACTGCTTTTTCGGGAGCCAGGAAAAAATACCATGGAGGATAGGCTATTTACAAATGATTAAAATGCAGGCACACACACATGCAGAGAAGCAGAGGGCAGACTCGGTTTGTGGTCACGGAGCCATGGCAGCGAATGAGATCGTTAACAGCCAAGAAGGTGAACTCACCTTCAGAACCGATAAGAGCAATTGTTGAGCTTTCCTTTATTCTCCGTTTTGATCTAAGGCTGCCTCTCCTATCACTTTCTCCTTCAACACAGTATCTCTTTGTCAGCATCGAGACTAAAGAAAATTGGTCATTCCACATCAGAGCAATGCACTCCCCTCCTTTTGTCTTTTTCAGGAAATTAGTAGCTTGTGTTCCATTAACTGCAGTGTTTTGCCTTATCTCAGGCCTATAAGCAAAGTGGAAATTTCAAGGCCATAATTTAAAATTATTCTGTCCAATTCATTCTAAATGCTCTCAATTGCAGCCTTTATCTCTAGACCTTACTAAAGATTATATTCAGGCTCACCTGCAGGCCCACAATTGTCCTCTTTTTGGAGCTGAGGTCTTTAGAAATGTAATGAAATGTGACAGGCTTTTGAATTGGGCCCTAGAAACTGTCCCTTTTAAGACCAAATGGATTCTTTGCCATCTTAGAAGTCAGTCTCTACATTGTTTTGTAATTTATTTTACAGAAGGACCTGGGAAACTGGTTTCCTAGACAGACAATACGAGTTCATTGTTCTAGAACAGTCTTAAAGAGATTTGTTGCTTTTTCTGATAGTCATTTCAATCTTGAGGTTGAAAAATAACATCTAGTCGTCAGACGGAGGCTTCAATGCACCATTTGATCATGGATGTACCAAGGGTGAAGATAAGCAGGCTAATATGGCAGCTTTTTACTGTGTGCAATTCAGTTTCAAGAGAAAACTCATAGAGCTAAAAGCTGGATTACCTTCTTCCAGAATGCACCATCTCCCCTAGTTGAGGTTTTTTATGAATGGCATCTATTCTGATCGGTCGGAACCTATGTTATTATGCCAACAGCTAAGTAGTTTACCATCTAGTCTAATCTCTTATTTTAAAAATAAGTCAGGTCTCAAAGAAGTCCAATGATTTCCTGGAGTCATATAGATAGTAGATAGCTGTGACTAGGTCATGTCATTTGAATTCCAGTTCAATACCCTTTTCACCAACTTGTATGGGCATCCAGAGATGTCTAATCATGAACTGTGTTCTAACAAGACTCCACTGTTTCAGTAACTGAAAGGAGGCCTTACAATTCATTATACTAGCTCAGTTATTCTACGGCACTTAACAGAATTCTAAAAATACATAGATTGTTATAGCTTATAATTAACACAAATATCTCTTCTCTGACCACAGCATGATCAAAACAGAGCTCAAAGGGGTTCATCCAGGAGCAGTAGAAGGAAAATAAAATCTACTGTGTTCTCTGGATTCTAGTCCTGATTGTCACCACTAATTCTGTGACTCTGGGTAAGTCTTTAGTATTCACATGTTAAATTGTGCAAATCCAAAAGATAGCTGAGATTTTCCACATGAATGGTTGGACTAGGTGACAACTGAGATTTCCTTTCAACATTGACATTCTATTATTCCCTGATGTGTTTACCAGGCAATTAGTTGGATGCAGTCCCCTTACTCACCCCTGCAAGGAACTCACTTTCAGCACACATGGCACAGCAGAGTCCACCCACAAAGCGTCTCTGATATGGAAGAAACCAACCTACAATGTCAGATAAGTCATTGTAGCAAAAACAGCTAGCCATCCACCAATATTTACTTCTTCTTTCTGGTATTGAAATCCCCCACCCAGATTTTCAATGGGTTTAAGGCCTTCCAACTATTGATGACAGTTCCTGGCTTCACTTGCAATGAGGTGTGGCTCTGTGACTAAGTTCTGACTCATGACAACTGAACCAGAAGTGGTGTGTATAACTTCTAGGTTTTACCCTTAACTGGAAAGGATGTGTCCCCCACTTCTTATTTTCCCTTCTCAGTGTCTGGGGGACAGTCACAATAGTCAACATGGACAGAGATAGAAGCTGTGTGTTATATATAACAGAACAAATATACTTATCTTGCATTGCCTACTTCTGGACAGGCACATAAGAGAAAAATAAAATCTAATGGCACTGTGAGTCTCTTTATTTTACCAGCTTAGATAGTTCACCCAATGGTACAGCCATTAGTGAATGCTGCCATGGAAGAAAAATGAGGAATCCTAGCAGGCTGCTTCAGCCTTGGATTCTATTTGGTAGTGACCGAGTAGTGACTGATGGTAATCTAAGGCATCTCAAGTTTCATAGTTCATAAGAAGACCAGATGATTGCTAAGGCCAATGATGGTTTTAATCAATGTATCCTATAAAATAATGGTATAATGAATCCTCATCCCGAACATATTGTAGCCAAATATACTTTTTAAGAATTCCAGTTTCAATAAATAGTCTCACACTACAGAAACAGTATAAACTATAAACATAGTATAAAATATAAACACTAGGGCCACCAGTAACAAAGTCATCAGTATTGGGTTTTAATAGCCACCAGATTGTCTTTAGAAAAGTATTTCTTCAAATACATCATCTTCATGAATCCTGAAATCCCAGGAGCCCATGGACCGGGGATCACCACCCTGCTGCCAGTATACTAAAAGAACAATTTCTGAAATTTTTCATTTACTAGTCAGCTCCCTGCCACGTCTCTTTTTCAACACTGGGTAATTCACAAACCATTATGTGAGTATGTAAAACCTGATATCTGATATCTGACCAGCATCTCGCTTGAGAATAAAGAATGAACCACAATTTGGATATGATAACTGAGGCAGATACTACAGACTAGTTCACTCAACAACCATTCCAATCTCCCTTCCTGTAGAATAAAGGCTAGAAAGCTAAACCCCACATCCCCCAGAGAGTTCTGCGTGGGACCCAGGTTCTCCTAAGCCCACTCACATTCTGTAAGCTACCTGAGACCTTATATTAAATCTCTTTCTGTTTACACTGGCTAACCTCGATTCTGTTTCTGCAACTAAGAATCCTGACGGCTACAGTGGTATTTTAATTCTCTGCTTCTTCAAGGATTGAAAACATGAGCTTCTTAGAATTTATTTGTTATGGCTAGCTTCTTATCGCTGGCACATTTAACATTAATTACTTGAATAAAGTAATTTTAATAAGGGAAAGAGAAGGAAGCACCAGTCAGGAGGTGGGATGGTAGGCGCAATTTGTGCTTGTCAGAGAAGCTACAGAGCTGCCTTCTTTCTGGGCTGACTCACTAGCCCTCTGCAGAGACATGGACTCATTTTCCCACTGGTCTCAATGTGGAAGCTGGCAGACTACAGAGGGCAACTGAGCTTCTGGATGGGGCACTTTGATAATGTGTTACACTTCCAGAGGCTGAAGGAGTAAGAAGCAGGAGCTAGTCCTCAGAAGCCCTGTCCATAGAGTCGTTAAGCCTGGTTCATGTAGGTTTGTAGTTCCCAAAGTGTGGTCCCCAACCCGCAGCAGCAGCACCTGGAAAGTTCCTAAAAATACAGATTCTCACCTGCAGGCCCACACCCCAGACCTACAGAGTCAGAAACTCAGAGGACCCAGGAATCTGTTTAGGCCAAACTTCAAGATAATTCTGATGTGTGCTCAAGTTTGAGGACCAGTGTTGACCCTAGCTCAGGTTAAATGGAGTTTAAGAAAAATAGTGGCAGGGTAAAAAAGATAAAAGACAATTGAAGAAACTGGACTTTGATTGCAACGGAGGCTCATGTTCTAATATAACAAAATCTTTTCCCATGTGAAATGGAGAGAGCATCATAGAAAAAGCATTGTGCTGAAAATCTAAGTTATTGCATTGGAATTTGGGATTTGTAACTAATAGTTAAGTAATGTTAAAGTAGTCACTTAACTTTTCTGGGACTCCATTTCCTCATTTGTAAAATGAAGAAATGGGATAAAATATTCTCCAACACTCACAAATTCTGTTTTCTATCAGTTCTGGACAAAATTAACACTTTATCCCTGATTAGCTTCCTGAGTATTGTGCCCTTTTTAGTATAAACCTGATGATAGAAATTTCCCAACATTCTGTTTCTCCACTTAGGAGCCATACCTGGAGGAAAATGATCAAAAGATACATGCAGTTCTCCACCTCAAGTCAATGGTCCAGGCGTATAATCCAGGACTGGTAAAATCCACTGCACATCTGAAAGATCATATGTAGCATAAAAAATACATTGGAAAATAGTAATATTTTAGAAATATATTCAAATTACTTATGTGTATCTTTTATAGTATTGATGCTTTTATCAGACATGAGATTTGAATATTAAGGACTAGATTTGCACAGTTCAAGATACTGTGTGTGTGTGTGTGTGTGTGTGTGTTAATTAAATGCTTTAATCTACTTCCAAATTTAAGAATTGAGAATTGCTGGCATTCAGCCAAGGCTGAGGAAGGTAGTAATTACACTTGGGAAAACCACAAAATTACATCCTTTAACAATGTGGAAACATTGCAACATTGACAGAAGATTGTGTCCACTCAGTGAACTTGAGAACTATAGAGGAAAAAAAAAGCCCTCCGTGTAATTGAAGCCTGAGTGCTTGGAGGAAAGGAGGGCTTGGCCTACACAGCAAGGACCAAGATTTAATCAGTTAATGAATTTGCTGAAGATAGAAATGCAAACACATCGCATAGCTATCAAGTAATAAATTAATAAAGAATGCTAGAAGAAGGTACAGCAAAAATGTGTGATCCTTAAGGCTGAGACTGTATCTTTCTTCCTAACACCTAACTAGGCAAATATTAGGTACTTAGCAAATATTTGAGGTTGAATGGATGAATAACAATTGAGAATGAGAGTAATTTAACTCTTTGTAAATAATTACAAAGAAACCCAAATTTTAGCTGTGTGTTTCAAGTAGCAGCAAGTTGCTTTACTTTTAGCAAACTTAAAATTTAGTATTTTTGCAGTGCCAGTGGAGAGGGCATGAAGATGTAATGTAAGTTATATTATGTTGAACCTTGTGAAATTGCAGAGACTCACTGCTTTTGGCCTACAAAAATGGCAAATTTAAATGGCCCAAAGGGTCCAGGATTTTTTTGGTTTTCTGTTTTTTGGGGTTTTTGTTGTTGTTGTTGTTGTTTTCTATCTAGGAGATACCATCTACATTTTAAAACCTGACTAGCGCTCTGTAAACCCTGAGTCACAGTGAATCCTGCCACTAGCAAGGATGGAGCCAGTATATGTTCTCAAGACCCACCCACCCCACCCCTTAAAATATGTGACTGCCGATTATCTGCAGGGGTAATTTCAGAGCACACATCTTTTTTAAAAATAAATAAAACATAGTGTTATTCTGGAACTATTAGAAGAACGTAAAGAGAAAAGACTCTTAAGAAGGTTTTAAAATGAGATTGTGGGGATGGTTGCCCAACTCAGTGAATAAACTAAAAAACATTTAATTATACACTTTAAAAAGTTGAATTTTATGGTATATCAATTATATCTCAATAAAGTTTTTTTTTTTAATAAAAGAGACTAGAGCTACAGAGAGTGGAAATACAAATGCACTTTGTGGACCATTCTGTGGTTCAGAGGAGGAGGAGGAGGAGAAGAGCATTACTTGCCAAACCCCAGACATCTGCCTGCTTGCTGGCGAACCCTCACCGTATCATCTCTGAGAAGATTGCATGCCACAGCTCATATCCTTGCCAAGTCATGAAAGTAAATATACAAGCAGTATTAATAGCCTCTGGTATTTTCAGCACGATGCTCGAACTCTGGAAAGGGATCCCCTGAACATTGCTAACTGAAGCATGGTGAGAAGTGTCACCTTTGCAAACACCATCTGAATCTTTTGGGAAGGATCTTTTTCAATCCACTTGTCCAGTCAAGTTCACGTGGCTGGTTCTAGGACATAGAGTAAATGTAAGAGTTACCCGTAAGCAATGATTCTTCACCTGGGGGCAGAAAAAGTTAGGAATCCCAGATGAATGGCCAGAACACTCAGAAAAATGTAGAGAGGCAAAGACCCAATTTTACACACAACATCAATGGTTCAAGAGCCTGTAAATCCCTTCCATGGACTCCAGATTAGGAATCTTTGGTCTATTTTCTATACCATGTCCCCACTGCATTCCGTGAGAGTATTTTAGAGAAATTTAACATTGAAAATGAAACACTAGAATCTGAGAGGTACTCTAAGGAGGCCGTCTGTCCCTTTCCTTCGCTATCACAAGAACTGGTCTTTAAGGTTCTGACTAGAACCTATGGCGCCTTCTAATGGGATGTAAATGGCACCTGACAATGGGGGGAGAGAGCCTGGTAGATGAAACTCATAATTCCCTTATGTATTCATTGCCTCTGGCTTCTCTCTGTTTTGTTTTGTTTTTCTTTCACTTGTAATCACATACATTATTATTCTCTTCCCAGTGTTTCTTTAACACTGTGTTGTTCCTCAATACCTGGGCAACTGTATATAGTTTAAAAAAATTGTTTAGAAGCCCTAATTTTATTTTTTTAAGTTTTCATTTAAATTTCAGTTAATAAATAATGTAATAGGTATAGTATATAGTTTCAGGAGTAGAATTTAGTGATTCATCACTTATACAATACCCAGTGCTCATCACAACAGGTGCCCTCCTTAATGCCCATCACCCATTTAGCCCATCCCCCCTGCCCAGCTCCCCTCCAGCAACCCTCAGTTTGTTCTCCATAGTTAGGAGTCTGTTTTATGGTTTGTCTGTCTCTCTTTCTTTTCCCCCATGTTCATCTGTTTGGTTTCTTAAGTCCCACGTATGAGTGAAATCATATTGTATTTGTTCTTTTTTTTTATTGACTCATTTCACTTAACATAATACACTAGTTCCATCCATGTTGTTGCAAATGGCAAGATTTCATTCTTTTTATGGCTGAGTAATATCCCATTGTACATATACACCACAACTTCTTTATCCATTCATCAGCTGATAGACATTTGGGCTCTGCATAATTTGGCTATTATTGCTAATGTTGCTATAAGCATCAGGGTGCATGTGTCCCTTCAAATCAGTATTTTTGTATTCTTTGAATAAATACCTAGTAATGCAATTGCTGGATTGTCTTACTAGATACATCTCTGGAGGCAAGGGAAACAGAAACCCTATTTTTAATAATAGCCATTATTATTAATAATAGATTATTAATAATAACCATTAACAATTGCAATCTATAACAAAAGAAGTTTAGAGAGATCAAGAACTCAGTGGTTTCTTACAACTTACATTACCTCGTTCTGATCATGCGGAGTATGGGTCTCAAGACAGGTTTTGAATGTATTTGAAAGCAACCATTTTTTTAAAAAGGATGAAATCAAAAGTGGTAAGAATTTATTAAGCACCCATTGTATTCTCAGCCTTATGTTTAAATGGCGTGGAGAACACAGAGGAAAAAAATAGCTTCTTCCGTCGGAGAACGTACTAGAAATCAAGAAGACAAGATGGACAAATATAAGGCAATGAGAGAATGAAACAACAACTGGTTCTAAGTATTCAAATTCATAAACCATTTAAAAAAAGTTTCAAATAAAACAGGATGTGTTTTATGTTTTACAACTTGTTTGCACTGAAAACCAAAGACATTATGAATATTGCCCCGAAATAGCCAAATTGGGGGGAGGGAAGCACCATATGTCAACAATCCCCAGTAAGCATTACTTCCTGGCACACACTCTACACAGCTCCATGCCATATACTATATACTTAGAAAATTAACAAATCATGGCCCTTGTGCATAAGTCCCTCGCAATCCAAGTTTGATTTCCAATTGATGAGGAAGAAAAAATTGCTTTCTTTTTTTTCTACTTGAAGTTCCAACAGGAAGTATCCAAGGAGAAATCTGTTCTTGAAAGATTCTCAACCAGAAACAGAAGCATTTCCATCAAAAATATAGCAAATAGGACTGTTCTCCTGAGATTTCTAACCTAATTAGTCAGATGAAAACACCTTTCAGATATTCCTTTGCTAATGTGTTTAGAGATGATAAAAAATCATGGCATGTATTTTCTCCTCTGCTATCTTTGGAACACAGGCTGTGTCACTTGAGGTAAAAGCAGGCTGACGAAAATGAATTTGTGGGTCATTTAGGAAGAAAGCAGGACTGGAATGAAAATAAAGGAGCCCAGACTAACTCAGAGATTCCCAACCATTCTCATATAATTTACATTAATGCCTACTGGTTTGTATCTCTAAACCAGATTGCAAGATTGAGTGGGTAGTTATGAGTTAGTTGAATAAAGTCAATCAAATCAAATAGGATTTTACTGAGGGATCTTTTGTGTGGTAACAACCCAAACCTGGACCACAGTCAGCCAATGACGTTACTTGAAGGGGTGACACCTTGAATCCAGTGCACACTTTGCTCATGGGTTCCAGCCCCGGACTTCCCTCCCAACAGCCCACTTTAGCATCTTAGGCATTATATGGACACTTCCAGTGGACAGTGGTCTCGGAATGCGTGTGTGTGTGTGTGTGTTTTACTTTTTATTGCAGCATAAAACATGCACATAGAAAAGTATCTAAAATGTACCTGTACTCTTTGACAACTACTTAAACAAATAGTCCAGTCTAGGAAATACAATATATCAGCTCCCCAGAAGCCACCTGTGTGCACCTCTCCCCCAGAGATAACCACTGTCTTTACTTGTGTTAGTCATTTGTCTTATTTTTCTTTATAGTCCCCACTACTTATTTATGCATTTCAAAACAATATAGTTTGATTTGGTCTGGTTTTGAATTTTATTGGAAGAGAATCATAATCTAGGTGTTTTTTTATGCCATGATTCCTTTGCTTAACCTTACAATTGTGACAATTTTCGTGGTGTTTGTTCATTTACATCACTGTTTAGTATCCCAATGTATTTATCCATTATCCGGGGGCCCCTAAGCAAACATTTCTCGAGGGTATATTCCTGGAATTGCTGGGCAATACGGTTTATATATCTTCAGCTTTCCTCTATAATTCTAAGCTTTCTTTCAATGTGATTTTACATCTTAATTAGAGCCCATCTGGTCAGTGTATCTGTCATCTCAATTTTCATTTTTCTAATTGCTGATGAAGTTGAGCACCTTTTCCTATGTCTACTGGCCTCCATCATTTCTTAATTTAATAATCAACATCTCACTAACTGGGACTTTTCTCTTTCTTTCTTTCTTTCTTTCTTTCTTTTTTTTTTTTTTGTACACCACATTCTTAGGCAGCAAGTAGCCTGACCATTTTCCAATCAATTTGGAACAATTTCATCA